AGCATAACTATGAGACTTTGTTTTGCATTTCCATGAAAAGTGAGGAAAAGCAAACCCTGTTTAGTAACATCCTTTCGCCTTTGGAAGAGCTAAATCAGACCTCCCTTCCCACACATTTCTGTCCCCAAAAGCAACCTGCAAGTCTCACAGCAAAGCTAGGAATACACATTCACAATGTTTTTCTTGCTTCTCTGCTCACTCAACAGGTTCACACTCCACAGGCTGAGCTTTTAGTCTACCTTTTTTGTTACAAAGTTCATCAACACTGTATCTGTTTATCTGTTCCATACAAACCGATAAGGAAATAAGCCCACAGAAGATAAGTGGGAACTCTTCAACAGCTACCTTCCTGCTGAGCCAGCAAGTGCTGTTTCTGGCACCATCTGTGTCCTGAAAGTCTGTTCTCTAGTGCTTTATTCACTAAACATGGAAAAAATATTTGGAAAGAAAATATCTTGAAGCATCTTCTACACTAAGGAATCTAGTTTTAAAAGAAAGAAAAAAAAAATTGCGGGTGACATTTCACATAATGGTTCCTTCTCAGAAGAACTCTACTTGGATCCCCATCGTGTTGAATCAGAAACAACCTCTAGGTACTTCAGTTTTAAATTACCACACCTAGACCTCCTTCTAGAAGGCATATCATTTTGTCTTGCAAATACACCTCCAGTGCTGAATACTCACAAGCTAAGTGAGAGATTACTTGCGGTTACAAATTAGGAGTCAAAACAGTATGTTACAGGCTGTGGTTCAGGAAAGAGTAATAGAGATCTGTTTACTTTTCTGCAGACACCATAGAGCCAGAGTGCTTGTTTCCAATGAGAAAGATGAGACTGGTATGTGTGGAGAATGGGAAAAGGTGATGTGCTAAATCCGTCACTTGTCTGGAGGGAGGAATGATACCCACCTACTATCATTAAAAAAGGTGCACTAATTGTTTGAGGGTTTTCTTCACCAAACAAACTTCGTAAAAAGTGAAACTATTTAAAAAAATAAAATCTGATCATGCACATGTCCTTCAAATTACTAAATTGATACAATAACCTCTATATGCAATTTATATGCAAGCAGAATAAAAGGAAGAAGATGCATTCCAGAAGTGATGATGCTTTTATGGAACATGGGCACTGATCCAGAGTCCTCAGACCCAGACAGTCCAGCGAGGGAAGGGGGGAAAAAAAAAATGCAAGTGACCTCCTGGATGAGAGGAGAACATGATCCTGGATAAGTCCCTACCAGTCCAGACTCCAATTTCAGTCTGAGGTAAGCCCTAAATTTTCTTAGTTCAGAGATGCTGCCTTCCCTCTACCCCCAGTTTCTCCTAGCTGGGCAAGGAGTACAAGAGTACCCAACCCACAGGTACAGAAACCTGCAGAACCCTGCCAAAAATCTTCTTGTGAAGTTCAAATTAATCACCAGGCAAGTTTTGTACAAACTTGACCTTGAACGCCTTGGAATACATTAGAATTTTGTCTTTTACAGCTGCACTTTAAGAGTGAGCCCTTCAGGATAGCAACCTTGTGGTTTTGTTTCAATGTAGTAACTCAGCAGATTACAGCAGGTCATTATCTGCCTTTCTTCTACCACTTAGCTCTGAATATGGTCTAAAAGGGTTATCTTACCTTTTTTACTTATACCATGGTGGTCTGATAAGTACACAGTGAAATCTTAACCAGAGGAAACAACTTAACCAGAGGAAACAACTACAAGTCTAATTGCTATGGCTGATTGTAAGAGTCAGCATTTGGTTCAGTAACTTCAACCTATGTGAAGGAGAAAACTAGTTGGAGGCAGCCAGAAAAGCAAATAGCTAATCTGAATTGGATTATGAATCTGTACTTGGATTATGAAAAGTCTTATTAATAAATGCTTGTTACTCTATGGCCATTTACACACACTGTTTATTTCCCAATCTATACGGAATAACTATAGGTCAAGTGTCCTACCTCACATGAGTTTCTAGGATACCCAGTTTCTTCCAAGGGGAAGTCAAGGTTTCCTTAACCCTAAAGTTCAATGTTTTCTCTCTTCCATGCTACTAAAGACACTAGGTTTTGCTAAATAGGCGCTCATGCCTCTTAGAAAGGTAAGAAGGTACATCAGTGAAACTGTTTCAAGGTTTTCACAGGAAACTCATTTACTCCAGTGTTTCATAAATCTTAAGAGCCAGCTCCCATCTGCATGGAGAACAAAGCACTTATATTGATGATGGGGCACCTTCCTCAGCTGATGGATCACAAAACATTCTCAATTCAGATTAAGCTTCAACTTCTTCCCTGAACGTTTTTCTAGTTTTGAAAACCAGGAGGCAATACTATTCTCTGGGGTGCTTAGGAGCGGGAGCTACTACCAAACTATGTTACACTTCACGCCACAAACAGTTTAGCTACATTCCTGTGTGACCAGCACCCTTACCACTCTTCCAGACCCACTTTCTCCAACCCTGATGAGCTGCATTTGAGAACACTATGGATGCCCTCCTTATAAGAGGTTTTGTGGGGGATTTGTTATAAGCCAAGGTCCCAGTCCCACAAGGCCCAGGACTTACATGTACCACTGTGTGACACACTGGCAACAAGAACAGCCACGAAGCACCGCACTACAGGCATGCACACCGACTGCTAGGGGCACACCGACTGCTAGGGGCACACCTGTAGGCTTCCCATGTGAAATGCTTATTTTCTACAAAGAACAAAACTAAAACAAGCTCTGTTGAAATAATTGTCTTAATACTTTTGCCAAGAATGACAAAGTAATCTTCCTAATAATGGTTATACTAGGAAAAAAAATTCACAAGAACATTAATCTTTCTTCCATTTTTTTCAAATATCCCTGTATCACTGTAAAAAGAAAGCTGTGGCAATGTACTAAGTGTGTTTTGTATTCCAATATCGAACATATATGAGGGCTGTTAGACTGAACTAACCTAGAGACCTCTTTCATCAGTTGTTTTTGGTTTGGTTTTAAGGATTCCACACCCATTAGAAGAAGTCAGTCTTGATTCAAGCAATTAACAAAGGAGTGATGAGGCAAGCAGATTGGCACAGAGGGACTATAAGAAACAATTTAAGTAAAACTGCTCCAGCTGCCACACACACACACACCATCCCCTCAGAAAACATTATGCAAGAGCATTGCTTTGATATAAATCCCTCTCTGTATGTATAAACTTTTACACTCCTTACCAAGCAACTGGTTGCAAGAAGGACTCGTTTTAAGGAGGAATCATCCAAAACTTTCTTACAGGGCTCAAAATAAGTTTTTGCAAGGTCTTTTAGCACCAAAAAAAAAAAGATACCAGAGCCCAAGGTGAGCTTGCCACAAGACAATTCCCTGATTACTTTAATCACCAGTTGCTGTATTTTGTCATCAGCACTCTTTTGAAAACATATAAAACTTACCTGCTTAGTGCAGAAGTGACAGACCACAAGCACTTACAAAGAAAAACTTGAGGAAGTTTGTGGACAAACCATACTTGGCAAGAAGCCCTGATGTTGCAAGGGAATGCAAAAGTATTGTAGAAGTTATTTTGGGGCCTCATCCCTCTAAATTCTGTGCCTAGACAAAGGGTCAGGTCTGTACAAGCATCTTCAGGACATCTAGGCAAGGTTGAGATGATGTTAACAGGGACAATTTTAACTCTTCTTTGGGAACTTCAGGAAGACAGAGTGTTTAAAAAGGTGGGGTAGAGGGAACATCTGTCTGAGACCAGATGTCACCACAGAAACTGCAGCAATGGAGAAGGATATCATTTAAAAATCAGGAAGCAGATGGGAAACAGGGTAGATACCCATAGCATACAAGCAGTAATAGCTACACACATGTAAGGAGGGACGAGCAGGTAGAAGCATTTTGATGTACTCTGCTCAACAGTGCTTACATCCACATTTATTCACTTTCTGAATCTCATGCCTCTGCTCTGATACTCAGCATTCCTACACAAAATCCTCAGAGTAAGTTTGTACCAAAAAAATAAGTTAATCCTCAGATCGGTCACCCTCAACCATTTCTATTACTACACTTCCCAAAAGCTTGACAAAATGAAATTGAAGTAAAAGGTATCAGGTGGATATGGTTCAACTGAGGGGAGCACAAGGTTCAGGAAGTGCAGAGGAAATGCTCATATGGACAGCACACACCAGAAGGACAGACTGAGGGGTGGTGTGTGCTGGTATCTTACAGAAACCCTGGGGTTGACAGCCTAGGTTGGACAAAGCAATGCCTCTGTTTTTCTCCAAAGCTAGGAAACAACCAAGCAGTGCAAACAAAGAAGTAGCTGCAGACGGAAAGTCAGATGAAGAAGGCAGACCAAACCTGCTCAGAGAACAACCCTACGGGAGCTTTATCCTCAAACCCTCCACCCTCCAATCTCCCTCAGGCAAAGGGATAACTTGCCACTAGTAAAACATGAAAACAATATTTTAAACACATACAAGGTAGAAAAACAGTAAAGAAAACAGATCGTCCTCACAGTAGCCCATCTACTACAAAAGTCAGCTGGTACACAATATATCGGTGAGAGCCCATAACCGTAATAGCATGAGCAAAAAATTTGCCATAATGCCACCACTATAGAGGAGCAGGGAAGGGGGTGGGAATCAAAGAAAAAGGATCAGCATTAAATTTCTGCTTTTGTAAAGGTTTTGGCCAAGTATTTAAATATGAACTTGTATTAAGTTTACTGAACTCACACACCAGCAAGCTCCAAAATGGACAAGCTTTCAGTCAAAGAGAGTGACTGCATCAGGAAGTCAGCATTCACCAAAGAATCCATTTCAACATTTTTTATGGTTAACTCGGAAAGCAGAAATGAAGGCAGTTATCTGAATTGCTTAGAAGGCTCTATTGTTCCCTCTTCCAAAGGATTTTTCCCCAGAACAGAATGGGTGGTGTGTGCAAAGCAAGTGAAAGGTGGGGGAAGGGGAAAACTCTTGTGGATAAAGAAAGAAACAGAAACACAGTTTTAAGCACAGATACCAATTTTTTAAGTAACTTCCTACCTCCCACTGCAAGTGAGGCGGGATATTTCTGATCTGAAGCTTCCGACTCCTGCAGATAAATTAAAGAAAATAGTTTAAAAAAAACAGAAAGAAAACATTATTGCAAAACAGACTATACATAGCAGTGTCCACATTTAAGCATCTGTCATACTAAGGGGGCAAAACCAAATACACAACTCAAAAACCCTAACAGATAGCTGGGGGGGGGGAATGTCAGGTCAAAACAATTTCAAGTCCAAAGAGCTGTTACAGAAATACTTGTTACACATTTGACAGCTGTTACATTTCATGAAGTCTCTGCTTTTCTTGAAGACTATTTCTATTTCAGCTTTAAGACCTTCAGTATCTAACTCTTTCCATCATAAATGGGTGTGATAATCCCATGTATTTGTTCTGGGTTCCCCTCCACACACTCTAAGAAATTTTTTTTTTTTTTTTTAAATTCACCAAGAAGATACGTCAGGATTCTACATCCCTTCAAGGAAGAAAATATAAATTTGAATAAACACATTTGCTTTGATATTAAGCTTTTCATTAGCCTAACAACAGACTATACTCTAACATTTATATGGCTGACATTCTCCATCTCTGATCAGGAGAAGGGGGTAAAAATCAATAAATTTATTGTAATTGCACCCCAAATTTACATCAGTTTTTGCTTATCTAGTAAACAAAACGTTCACTTTGAAGTGCTACTGCAAAGCCTGGCAGTGTGCTGGCTGCCTTCACAGCCAAGTCCTTTGTCTCCTCCCTTCCCCCAAAGTGAGAGAACAAATAAATGCCAGAGATGCCACAAAACCCTTGGGATTTACAAGAATGTGTAGATTAACAGAGTTTCAGCTGGGCTCAGGTAGGGCATGCTGGTTGGGTCAGTCTGGCTAGCCAGGGAAGATCTGGGGAAGGGAGAGGGGACGACACAGAGCAATCTAGCTTAGAAGGTCTCAACTACATTTTGGTTCACCAAAGCAGCTAAATAAGTGTCTTGTGTTCAAACACGCAGTTCTACTTAGTGTTTTAATTGCTCAATACTGACCTCTCACAGAAAATCGCTTCCCATTTTAAGGACTTTTTATAACAGAAGTTTGTCAAACTTATACAAGCCAGTAAAATCTTGCAACAAAACAAGTTTTAGAGATGTTCCCATCTAGCAAAAAAATCAAAAGCTTTCGTTTTCCCCCTCAGATCCTTTTAAAATACACTGCTTTCCTCAACACCACCACCACCCACCCACACAGGCCTGCAGTGAGCGTTTTACATCTTGAAACGCTCTTCTCGACAGGCTTTGTTCGGGGCGCAGCCGGAGCTTACGGCACAAAGCCACCTTGCCCAAACTTCTCCTCATGTGGACGTGTCACCTCAAACACTACAGCAACCATGAGATCAAGCGACAAATGCACTTTTTCCAGAAAAGACGAACAGGTCTCAGTTGTGCAGCATTTCTCAGCTGTTTTCACTCCCTCTCAAGCAAGTAAGAGCTGATTTCAGCATTTGATCATGTAAATAGGCGAGGAAGGGAGAATGAAAACCCAAGCCGCACACAACCCTGTTTAAGCTTTCATTTCCAATAAAGCAAAGAGAGTCAGGAGCTGCTTCACTGTAATAGGAAGGGGGGGAAATTTCCCTGAAGTCTGCAAAGATTTCCTTAAACTGTAATCTCAGCTAGCGATACTGCTATAAAACAATCACCCTAAAGTAGTGATATACTGCTCTGAAATATCAAAATAATCTCACACAGCAGCCTGAAACTTGAAAGTTGGGTCCTAAGGTAGAACATAAAAGGGGGTGTTCATTCAATATTAAAAATACAAGGAAATTTTAATGCAAAGAAAAAAATCCCAGACCGCAAAATTGGCAGCCAATACGCTATTCAATGTGCTTCAAACTGTGTCGTGCCATTATAGTCTCTGACACTTATAGATTCAAATTAAAATTCATGAGAGTTTCGTAGCAAGGAGTGCCACTCGCAGAAGGATCCGAGCACGCAACAGCCCAGCCAGCACACCAACAACAGGTCTCACCCCAGCTCCACGCCAAGTTAAGCAGCAAATGCTCACGCTGAGCAGTGTAGACCAGGAGAAGGGAAAGTCCTTTCCAGATGCACTTACACAAGTTTCACACACACAACTGCTACCTCACATTTCATTTTGGAAGGAAAACCTATCTTCTCCTTTACTGCCCAGCACCTGAAAGATGGACCAAAAGAAAAAAAAGCAATCTCTACGTTTACTCAACAATAAAGGACATAACATGAAGTTCGGGTTTGTTTTTTTGTTTGTTTTGGTTTTGTTGTTTTTTTTCTTCCCACGTGGCTTTGAGGGACCAAAAAGTTTGGTGCAATTTAAAACTTTGCCAACCAACATTTGTAGCACAAAAATAACTTCAGTATCCTGAAAGGGAGGAGGAGGAAGGGAGAGGAGCAAGGAAGAAATGCCACCTTAAAATTACCAGTTCCTCTACCACATTCATACAGAGCCAACGGAAATGGCAAGCCAAATACAAAACGGGTACAGTCCCGCTGTGCACCTCAATTTATGGCAATAGTGAGACACCTATTGTACAAAACTGAAAGGTCACTTCGAGAAAAAAAAAAAAAAAAAGAACAGCTATAAGAACCATTTAATTTGAAACTATTTACACCTTCATCAGTTGCTTGGCTGCACTACAAGTAATTTTAACTTGTGACCCAATGCACAAGTTTGAAATCTGGTGTTTATTGATGTACGTGAAAATTTGATTTTTTTTTTTTTTACACTATTGCTGTATCACAATTAGCAACAGGAAAAAAAAAAAATATTAAAGCTTTGCATGGCCAAGAGAGGAACCACACAGAACCAGTGTAAGATAAAAGAGCACGAGCACCTTTGAGATGTCTTCATTTCAGTTACTATCAGCTCCTATTAAAAAAAAAAAACCTAAATATATTTCTGAAAATTACCTAAAAATACACAAAGCTTATAACCCCTTTCCCTCTCCACCCTTCTCCCCACACAGAAAGAACAGATAGAAATGACAGAGGTGGATTTGTGTTCCCAGGACGAGAACGGGCACTGAACGAGCAGCGAGCAGATGGAGACCGAATCCACCCCAAACTGCAATAACCTGCGCAGCTCCTGCTCGGAGAGATCGCTCCTCCTGCCCATCTCCTGTGCTTTGGCAGCCCCATGCACCCTCGCTGCAGGGTGGCATTAGCGATCTGCAGTTGCCTCTACTGCGTGCACGTGAACCCCTGCAGAATCGGCTCTCAACTTCCTCAAGAAAAATCCCAAACCAAATGCAAACGTGTAGCAAAGAATAACGGACAAAGCCGGGTCTGACTGAATTTACCGGAGCAGCAACAGCTTCCACGAGGATGGGTTCCGACTTCAAAAAGCATGCTTTTGCACAGGGACAAAACTCTACACAATAGATGGGGAGAGGAAAGAGAAAAATATGGGAGCATCTTCCTGGAAATACTCTCCCATCTCAGACAATGTCAGCTCTTTTAGGGTGCTTTCTATCTTTCTCATAACCCTGTTTTCTTCAGCAAACTACAGTATATGCAAAGCTCCTATAGTTATCACATCCCAGGCAGCATAAACCCACAGAAGGTTTTGTTTTATTTTGTTCTGAAATAATTTTAAGTTTTGTTACTTTACAACTACTTGCAGTCATACCAGGTGTGTAAGACAAGAAATAGTCCTTTCAAATTCCATGAAGGTATTTTATTACAATAGTTTCATTTAATATATAGCTCACCTAGTCTTAAGAAATCCTTAGTAAAACATTGCCAGCATCTCTCAATGTGACTCATTTAAGCCTTGTGTATGCACTTTTTCCAGTTTAAACAGATTTCTTAATTAATTTCTTCCATTCTAAATAGGCATTACAAATAGATGTCAACTGGAAAAAAAAGTCTGGGCAAATTATGTTTGTGCTTTGTATCATATGAAGGTTTTTGAAAGCTACCTATAGTTCACAGCATGTGAGCAGGTATTCCCACTTGTTTCTCTTTTTCAAAGACACCCCAAACAGCTTGTACTGGGTAAGAAGAAAACAGACTTCTCTGGTTTCTGTATAAGGTTAGTCCATAAGCAATTATTTAGCAATAATTTACTTAAGAAGAATTGCATGTGTTCTAATTATTCTTTTCAGGTATTATGCAGGTAGCTGGATTCAGTTACTTCAAGCCACTGCTGATGACCATAGGTCAACATATTTATTCTGGGGATGTTAAGACACAGAGCCTTGTGTTTGGGGGACATGAAGCTCTCTGCGACACTGAAAGCAGGTAAAACAAAACAAAAAAAAAAAAAGACATCATTGTTCTTCTTCACAAGGAAAACAGCATATTTGTGCTACATGTGTGTGCAGAGACAGAAAGGGCAAAGTACAATAAAGATGGATAGTTTACTAAAAGCCATCTTCGTGATCTCTGAAGGGGTAATCTCTCACATGTAAATACAGAGAACATATGCAGGGACATCCAGTGGTCCCGACCCGCAAGAACCCTCCACACATATGAAACAATACTAAACATGTCTCAGGGAAAAGGTGGTGGGAGGAGGGAATAAGAAAAACCACAATTTCAGCACTCTTTCTTTTATATGTACTCTTTGCTTCTCTCTCTGCCCTCCCTATATACATCACTTCTTTTCTTCAACCTATCAAAATCCTCTTAGGTTAACAAGGTCTCAAAAATTGTCCATTTTTGCATCCCTATGTTAAATAAAACCTCACTATACACTTTCACTCACTAACACAGTCTCACTGTATGCTTTATATGATATTTGGCAAAGGCAAATCACATAAGACCCACACCTCCCCTTAAGGGACAATAATTTTAAAAAACAGAAGATAGACAACTATAAAGCAAAGAACATTAAAGTATCATGTTTTTGCTCACAGCCCCAGTTTTTTTTATCACATGGTATCTCTCATAGGTGTGTCAAAAGTTGACTGTTTCAGAGGGGAGCACATACACAAGTATCAAAGAGGCTGCACTTCCACCCTGTCGTTGTACCCACACTCTTACCAGACCCTTCTCACCATCCTCCCTCCCGCCCCCCCGAG